ACACAACAGGGGCAGTGACACTCTGCTAAAAATCAGATTTCAATCAAAGTATACATCTTGGAGGCTCAGACCTCCAGCACTTTCCTCCCACTCAGCTCCTAGATTGCTGGCAGCCAGGCCTTAACCCTTCAGGCAGGGGATCAGAGAATTCTCGTTTGTGGAATCCAACCAGCTCAAGAAGAAAGACTTGCCTTTGTTGATATTTGAGTCTCTCCACCTAAATGTTCCAACCAGATCACCCTGCAGTGAAGCTCACAGACAACGGGCTCTGCTCACATGTTCAGAGATTTAGCATTGGCTAAATCAGCTTTTTAGCATCACCCACATGGAAATGACAACATACACCCACAGACTGAAGAGAAGTAAGGAAAAATTCTAACACAGAAGAGAGAGTGCAAAACCACAAACAGAAGAAAAGCAACTTGTAGGAAACACTCTGCTAGGTAAAGCATACTTTTAAAAACAGGCAGAGAGAAGTTCAAAAAATAGAAGAGACAATCATAAATAAATAAATAAAAAGACAGTATAAAAAAATTCAGAAAACTGAAAGGAACCTCAGATTTTTTTCCAAATTGCTTTTTTTTTTTCTTTTGGGAAATGAAAACTTGTGCAAGAAATGGGAATTCATCATAGTTTACCACTTGGATGAGAATGGCCATATACATAGTCAAAATATTTTAAATACTAAATATTGATCAAACCAAAGTTATGCTATAATTGCATGGGAGAAAGGGACATGGGAAAAATGCACGTGCCTGGGGGAGGTAGGGGGTGAAAGAGTGTAAGTTAGTGTTTTTTAAAACTTTAATTTAATTTAACTTTATCAATATACAATGTAGTTGATTTTCATGTCCCTTTACCAAATCTGCCCTCCCTCCGCCCTTTCCCTCCTCCCTCCCATCACCGTCCTATCTGTTCGCTTGTCTTAACAAGTTCAAGGAATTGTGAATTGTTGTGACTTCTCACCCGCCCCACCCCCCATTTCTTTGTGTATTTATTTATTTATTTTTAGCTCCCACAAATAAGTGAGAACATGTGGTATTTCTCTGAAAGTTAGTCTTTTATGGTGGACAGTTAATAGATAATGCCAAAAAGTGAGAAAATAACATTCAAAAAAGAAGTAATACAAGTATGTTATTGGTGACATGGTTATGAACACAAAATAACAGCTACAACAGCTAAAAGAAGTGAGGAAGTTCCTCCCACAGGGGAGACAGGAGGGACTGCTGTATTTTTGATTTGTTCAGCTTTTTAGTGAAACTTAGAGAATTTTAAAAAGCTATATACATTTGTAGTGATAAGAATAAACAAAATTTTATATCACTACCATAAATAGTCATCATCACTTGCGTGAAAGTAGAATTCTCAGATTGGTAAAAATATCATTTTATGCAGTTAGATACTGAGCACATGCAAAGGTTTATTTCAGTGATAAACTAGGGAACAAGCTGAACAACAGAAGTGCTTGTTTGAAAGTATTTAGAATTCTTGATTTTTGGTGGGAGAAGAGATGCTTATATGACATTGTCATTCGGAATAAGACAGGTAAACTTCCTACAGAGCAACACAACTGTAAGTTTTAGCAAAGCAGCAGATGTCACATGTTGTCATTATTCTGCAAGTTAACCATTAACTCCACAAGGTTATAAAATTTCCAGTTTCTAATAAATCATGGACTGATATGGAAACAAAGTTACATTTCCTGAGAGAATGAAAGGACCCTTAGTTGGGTTTATCAGAAATGTTCTATTGAAAAGTCAGGCAGTCCTCACTTTGCTTTATTTTCAAGCATTAGATCTTTTCCCTGCACACTAGCTGTAAATATAACTAAATTTAACAACTAAACATAAAAACAAAATAATGTTTTTAAGTTCTAACTCGATGCTGTTTGCCATCTGCTCTGACCTGAGGTCTTCCCTCTGTTTAAAAAAGCGGGGGGGGGGGGGGGGGGGGGGGGG